ATTTTCTCCTCCCAAAGATGAGAATATATAATGGATAGATAATAATAGTTTCTGATTGATGCTACTAATACCACAAATTGATATACATAAGCGAAAGTTAAGATTAAGAAAGGATTTGATTTGAGAAACGCATCCTGAGGTTATGCAATTCGCAATGCACCTTCGCAACTGGTGTAGTATATCCGTAGTGATATTTATTTTTCGGTTGTCGTTTTACCAAAATGATTTCAGTAGAAAATTTTTATCTTAACATTGTATACTTAATTATCTACAATCGTTTTAAATATATATATATATATATATATATATATATATATATATATATATATATATATATATATATATATATATATATATATATATATATATATATATATATATATATAATGTATATAAAAGGAAAAATTACAGAACTGTAGCACAAAAACAACATCAACATTTGACATGGCTTGTCAAATAATGTTTAGAGCAATTTTTAATGAAGCCAAGGACAATTACCAATTCCAACATACTCATTTCTATCACAACTATGCTATAATTTTGTATGGTATGTAATGTATATGGTGTATGGATAAATTTAACTTTAATAAGAATTAATCTCTTAAAATCTGTACTTTTGCCACAGTGTGAGAAAAATACGTAACAAGAAAAATGCAACTTTAATCACGAGAAGAAATTTATTAGCATTATGACAAACATTACTCTTTGGAGTTCATTTTTTCAAAACAAAAAAAACACCACACATCAGTGGGTAAAATCTACTGAAAACATTTGATCCCTCTCAAACTCGTCGCCCAAGCATTGATATTTATAGGATTATAAATTAATAATAAGTTATTTTTTCTGATTCGATTGAGTAATATGTGTTAATCTGGAATAATATAAAAAATTGTACTTCCTTAGAGAGACTTCATTAATTGCAATTTACTTACCTAAATGGAACAAGTCCTTTCCGGGTGACTTTAATTGTCGATCGTACTAGAAAGCGTCCTTGGGATTACTTTGAATTTTAATGAAAACATTACTAGTCTAAGATTTATGATTTTTTTATCAGCGCATTGTATGATAATTCAAACTTAATTTTTATCTTTGTCATTCAGATTCAAACGTGACGTTGTCCATTATAATTTGATATTGGCTGTTTTGAATTATTAGCGGTTTTTCCATTACCATCAATTCTTCGGATAAGTAACTCCGAAATATTATAATATGCAACAAGTTTGATAAAAGTGTTATTTTAGTCGCAAATTTTATTTGTTATGAGCGGAGCCAGTGCTTAACACACGAGTGACTAAATAAGTTTAACAATGTGTTGCATTTTATACTTTTTTATCAATTTGCTGTAATAGATCACCAAATGGTAATGTGGATGTTTTTTTTTTAATCTAGAAGTCATATTGTAGATTCAAGAAGAATCCAGAATGGTTGTTCATCTATTCTTTATTAAATATTTACAAATTATTGCAATAATGCACTAGCAAAAGGAATACCAAATACAGTTTCAGAGCACGAAACCATGGTATTCAACACGGGGCTAAACTCAGGTACACTATTAGAAGCGCCATAGGCACACATTTTAACAAAAACAATATTAGTGTTTTTATTTCTGATTTATCTTAAAGAAACTTGGTCAGGAATCTACGATGATATCTCGGTTATATTGATAAAACATTTGAGGTTTGTTAGTCTATTTTCGTGTGGTATTTTTTATATGTTCCAACAAAAAATCGTGGGATTTCGAATCAGTAAAAAGTTCCAGCAAATATTAAACAAAATTAGATTGTGCAAAAGCGCCTTTATTTCCGGAAACAATACAAGCATGAGAAAGTAAACATTAACAATTAATAAATTTCATGAAAAAAAGTTGCTAAGAACAAAAAATATCAGTCAGATTACCAAAGTCCAATGACCTCTTTTATAAATGCATCATTAGCGGAGGGCACTTTTCCTGCAGTCCTGAAAATTTTGCGAGTGACTCCCATCTTGGCCGATTACTGAAGCCAATAGACAATTTTGTCTAAAAGTCAGCACTGTTCTTAAATAAGTAAATCAACACAAACAGTGAATTATGAATGTTTGAAAACGCTGTTAACCAAATTGAGTCTGAAGAGTACTTTGCTTAGTAGGGCGCTTATTCTTTTGAATAAGATGGAACGATATGATATTCGCTGAATAGTTCGGGACTGATTTAAATCGTAGGTATTATTTTGAAATAAGGGAGGAAAAAGGCAACGTGTCTCAAATTAAAAAATGTCAAACTTGACACTGTTCTATGTTCTACCTGTAAATATTTATTATTATTAAAACTTTAATATGATTTACTATTTCATTTGCATGCACTATGATGTGTACTTATTTTTGACTGGCATGACGAAAATCCACCTGCCCTGTGATTGTATTCTAAATATGTGAAATAATAAAAATATTATTATTACTATTAACACCATTTCACTTCTACGGCCTAACTGTGTTTTTGTATGACCACTAATCCTTATTGAAGCCGGTGGCGTTTAACCATGTTCGGAATACATATATAATAAAAAATTAAACGTTTAAATGGAATTTCCAAAAAATAAGAGGGCAACTATTGCAACAAAATATTTAAGAAGTTTTAGCGATTATGACAAGGGTCATGGCATACTATATTTTTATACGCGTATATCAGTAGATAAATTTTGCTTTAGTACGTTGGTCTAGGCACAAATAAATAAAATATTTATCTGCATGGTACCAATTACCCAATTAATAATTTATAAAAATTGAAGCCTCTACATGTTTGGTAATAGAGTTGAAATCAAGCAATTTTCTCATTATAAAAGAACAGAAAGGCAACGGTACGACTTTAAATTAGAAATGAAATTGGCTGACTAGAAAGAGAAAAAGGAACACAACTGGTTTATAGAGAAAAATGAAATATACATACATATATATATATATATATATATATATATATATATATATATATATATATATATATATATATATATATATATATATATATCTCAGAAGTGTAAACCACTCATCAGTTAATCAACAGAGTTTTTCCCCGAGCATGTTTACAGGAAGGTCGAGAAATTATTTTTGATACTCCTTTTTCAAAATATCCAATTATACACCAATCTAGCATGTGTAACGTGTCATTTTACCACGTCAGTTTCGTTTCGTATGGCTGCGAGTCACTCCGGATATTTCCGGGATATTACTGCACGGATGTGGGAGCAATCGGACGTTTTCGGAGATTTTACAGCACGGCTTGATTTTTGATGCTCATGTCAGTGAATGTATTCGCGTTGTTTTGCAAAAATGCACCCAAAGACTGATGGTTATAGAAAAAGTATAGTATGCAACAAGTTTCGTAAATACTATTATAACACTATTTTGAACTTTGCGAATTTAATTTAATTTAATTTGTCGGCTGATAATACAAATCTTTAGATGTCAGTGTGAAAAAAAAAATTCAATGGCGCGAGTCAATTTAAAACATGATACCAATAACACTTAGCGACATTTTAAAAATATTATAGTCCATTGAGGCGCATCTATTTGTACTGTTATGTACTTTGTACTGTATGGTGAGCAGTTGACTATACTGCTCAACCCAAGGTCTTCTGTTGTCAGCAAGCTAGTTGATATCATAACCTAAGAGTTTTGGACCCTCATCAGTTATTGAATGTATACCGAGAGGTATTAGCAATTAAAGATAACAGGAAAGAGCAATAATCAACGCATAAAAACTATTGTAAAAAAACCGGTACAAGAGTTACTAATAAATGATGTTAAATCTCACGCTAGAGTATTCATTGCTAATTGCTCTTTCTAATAAACAAATTACAAAGAATGACGTATTATGTCAATTGTCAAAGGGTCACCGAAAGATTTTTTAAAATTTAATTTAAGTTTGTTTTAATATATTAACAGCTCTACAGGTCGACAAGTATTAAGAGCTTCACCAAAGTGCTCTATATTATTGGAAAACTTTATATCAGTTTTATCCAACTGAAGAAAATGGATAAAATGAAAAATATTTTTGTAGCCTAAACAGTTGAGGAGATGATTTTTTCTCCAAAATTCATTTTACCGACATCTTCAAAAAATACAAACCAACTGTTGTAGATTTGTGTATGGCCTAAGGAAATATGACCACGTGTCCCCTAAAATTAAATTGTTGCAGTGGTTGAGATTAGACAATTTATTTGAGTAGCTGTTCGCTGTGTTAATATACAAAATCTAAAGTCTTCTAGCCTTCTAGCTAGTTTTTCGTTGTGAAACCTCCGATGTAAATATTATCGAGAATATGTTAACTGTGCATCAAACATAGATCTGCTGTTTACAAGTGGGGTTTACCTGTAATGCGGTAAAAACTTTTCATCGAAAGAACATTAACAAGGCGTGTTGTTAGGTAAACAAAGTGTTGTTGGGTTTTTCGTCTTTTAATTAATCATAGAATTATTTTTATATTAATTACTTTCTTTTTCTTTTGTTTATATTTTATTTTTCTTCACTACGGGTTCTCTTGTTACAAATTGTATTGTCAATAAGCTGTATAATATATAGATTAATTGTGTTAGGTTAATGTTCAGTAGCTGACAGTCAGTTAGACTTTGCCCTTTGAGATTTCGGTAGTGTATACTGTGTATTATGTATCTAGATTCTTAATAAAGATTATTATTAATATTTATTAAAAAAAAATAAATTCTAGTATGTCAAACACATTACATATTGGATCCCAAATGAACGTCGTTAAAACGTATTATTGCGGCACTATCTTAGCAACAAAAAATACGACCAAGACATGACCGTATCGTGTTCCGCCATATTATTTTATATCCTTTAGGATGATGCGTTAAATGATTTATCTCGGCGCGGACTTTTTTTTCTCTACACGCAACAATATTATAACGGCAAACTGTTGGAATAACACAATCTTGATCGTTTCTATACCTAAATAGCCGAAGCCTGTCGCAGGCCGTTCCACCGTACTTCTCCTTTAGCTATCGGAAGGTAGGTCGTTCTCGGATGGTATACCTCGAGCCCCAGCATGGTTTCAGACCGAGTCGCCGTGCCGTCGTGAAAGTTCAACGCTGTAAACATTCTCTTCTGCCTACAGAGTGTTTTCGTCGTTGTGATGTGATCCCGGTGTAGATACGTTAAACTGTTTATTTTTTATTATATTTTAGGCGAAATCCAATCGGCGGCGATCGCCGCTATCGCTGTAGTGCTTTGTTTCGGTTAAAATGACAACCAAGGGTTATTATATTGTTGTGGTGCTTGTTTATGTTTGGTGTGTTGGTACTGTGACTGTGACCGAGATTGACTGTACAGGGAGGGACTCGAGTAGAAAATGCGACGAGGCAGTCAAAGAGGATATCGGTACGTGCATTAGATACTAGATCTAGGTACTAGAGCTCGTATCTAATACTACTATTGATACTTATAGTTTCAACATACCAACGTAAAAACAATTGGTAGATTTGGTACAAGTAAAAATATCTACAACATCATTTCAACTGAAATAAAATTAATTTTTCGTTATTTTGGGCAATTGAAGGAAAACTTGATACAGAGGTAGAGCTTTGCTGCTTACTAGATTTTCAGTTTGAAAAGCAAAAGTACATCATTATCGGCGTAGGATGTATCGTTGACATGTTCTAGTTTTTTTTTTAAAGTAATGGTATTGTATGATATGGTATGTCCCGTTTTTAGATATTTAACTAAGAATTAATATAATCATTTTGCTAATAAAGAAAAAAGGAAAGGCGACTCTCATCCCCGCTCCCGTTTTCATTCCTTCTTCTTTCTAAGCACTTCGTGGCACATCTAACTATAGGACAATATATTGAAGAAAAAATGAAATTTTGTAAGTGTTACCGAAAAATGTTTAATCTAGTCGCGAAAAAGTGCGCATGACTTCTTGGGATGATTAATTTTAACGTTGGATTTTAAAAATTGTTCTGAAATTCTGTATAAGTTAAGCGTATCGAGAGACCGCCGTCAGGATTTTGGGAAGTTATAATTGACTACCATATTAGGAAAATACTGACTGCTTTTCTAAATATCGCAATATCCAAGAATTACCGGTTAATGTTTAACGTGCCTTAGCTCGGAAATTTCCGGTTGAAAAACTACGTTATGCGGATTAGAAACCAGTTGATTTATGCTTCCGTTTGTCTTCTGGAAACGTCACCGCGCAACATTACTTTTTTTAATTATCGGACTGAGTTTAAAATTTCTTCTTCATCGATGTTTTATTAATAGTCGTTTTATGCACCAAAGGAATTTATAATTACTATTTTCACTCCTTCGTTTTCCATCTTGCTGAACGCTAGTGTAATACGGAGAAGAATTTTCTGCAACTCAACACGAAACGAATAGCTCAAAGCTGGAAAAAAAAGGATACGGAACTTAAATTTTTCTTTTCTTCTCTTAAATTTTCCTCAGCTTTCAGAATAAGAAGGAACATTGATACACCCTCGTTGGCTGAATCGAAATTGTAACCAAGTAATGTGGGATACTTCCATCCGAATTTAACCCTTGCGGTGAAACGTTTTCCGCGAATATTTCTCTTCTATTTGTCGTGGTTTGACTCTTTTTTTAACGAGCGTATTCATATTGCTTATGGATCGTGCTTATGAATACGTGCATGAATATAGGTGTAGGTAACATTTTAACAAAAACATAACCGAGACATTAAATATTCATTTCACTTTAGCTTATTTTTTGCTATTACTTTGCAATACGTACATAATTTTCATTTTAATAAACGAATATTTTATTACGGATATTATCTATAGAACGCGACCATCAGTTTGAAAAAATTCCCAAAATACTTACAGTAAAAATTCTTCCATATTAAACTCTTTTTTTTTCTTTAAGCGATATTTACCTTAAAAAAATGGAATTCTAAAATGCGAAATATCGATATTAAAATAACCAAGTATATAAAAAAATATGTTGCCTTTTAGTATTTCACCATTAATCCGAATAATAATATCGTAATTAATGTTCAGTGACAATTAACTAAAATAAAATCAATATTTTAGAGTATATTAACTAGCATCTTTCTTAGTAGGTTGAGTTTGTAGTATTCTAAAACAATATAGCATGGTCATTTTTGATATTGCTAGTTAAAAAAAAATCTAAACCTTCACTCACTACCATTCGGAAACATTTTAATGGCTTAGTTTCGATTAGTTAAATGATGGATCGTGTAATATTAGTAGTAACAATGCCGTTTTTATATTTACTTTGTTTTAATTTTGTGATTAGGTCGATTAAACCTAACCGGTAAAAATAACACAAAACACATGTTCGCTCTAAAATTAGGAAGATAATTTGCATGACCCTTAAAACTCAATTTAAGGTCAATTCAGATTGTTGTGACCCAATTAAGACTTCGGCCATCTCTTTTTTGTCTACCGGTCGAATTATAAGCTTTTTTCGTCACATAACGGAACCGCAAGACGATGAAAGAAGTAAGGCGGTTAACGTATTCAACAATTATAATACAAAGTCGATTGCTCTGAAAATATGTCTTCTGACAATCGGATCCGCTCAAATGATGAGAAGTAATTATGCAAATCTCTATTTGGTAAAGTCTGTTCATAGATATAAGAAAGTGACTAACTGATACGAATTAAGGAAAGACACGGACAAGCTGTAAGAATGAAATATGGCAGAACAGGTCCGTACTTTGCTTAGAATTTAATTATTTGGGGTTTTGTTAGGAAAGATACTAAACAATATGTATTTATGTTTAAATCTAAAATAAAATTACAAATTATTTTATTACCTACTTAAATTACTTAAAATTATTCACATAATATATCAGTATCACTATCGCTATTATCGCCTGTTCTAATTATTATTTGTTCTATATTATTTGCAATATGGATATACGATTGTTCTGCTTCTTCTATATGTTTAACAGAATTTGAATTTGAATTTGAGTTAAGACGAGGAAAAACATTGTTACGACGAATGGCAGATTTCAGTTGGTGCCAAACATGTTCAATGGCATTAAATATATAGTGGTAAGGTAAAAAACATATTCCTTTTGTAAGTTCAAGCTTTGTAGAACCTCAATTAATTGCTTTTTGGTATAATCTTCGCGAAAATAAATGTCGTTATTATAAATGTAGTTTTGGATTGCTGCATTTGTGTCACATGAGGAAGGGGTTTTAGTCAACTGTTTACTCTGATAACTTGCATTGTCCATTACAATTACGCTATTAGGAGAAATGTCTGGAACTAGATTGTTTTTAAATTAACTTTCAAATAAATCAGCGGTGGTGTCTTCATGGTAATCCAGAGAAAAATCTTTAATATTTTTCGCAGACAGAGAAAGTCCATTTGGAATCCAACCATCTTTAGAGCCAGCATGCAAAATAGTTTTTCTTTTACCTTTTTTTGATAGCGCGTTTGTTTTACACTCACCAGTTGAGTCAGCCCAACCCTTTTCCGGGGTAACATAAGTGTCGAACCAGGTTTCATCCAAGTAAATAATTGGAGTTAATTTTTTCTAGATATTCCAGTTTCCATAAGGCCACATTTAACACCGGTTTCATCTTTTTCAAGCCTATATCTAATGTAGGCACGCTTCGTTCCTCATATAACTGGTACATTTTACGCCGTATTATATCTTGATCACTTTCATCTACACTCGAGAAAACGCCACCATCGCTTCTTTTTTTCCTCGCTGAAATGGGATTATTCACAATTTTCCATACAGTTGATGATGGAATTTTCGTCAATGTGGCCGTTTCTTCTAAAGATGCTTACTTGCTGGCACCACGTTCAATGAGAGTCAAATAAACATTGTTTATAACTTCCTTAATCTCAATAAAATAGTGTTTTCTACATTTGGGCGGCAGCATCTTCTGAGATACACTAAACTCGCACATATTTTACATAATTCGTACACGATTCAACACACGCTGTATTACACACGAAATAAGAATGATTACTAATAAACTTAAATTAAGTAGCATACCAAACCAAAGAATATTAAACACAGGTAGGTATAAAATTATTTTCTTTTACGGACCACAATTTTAAGTGGATTTAAATTCCGAAACTTTAGGTAATAATCTTCCAATCTCCCATTCAAAAGTAATTGGTCACTTTCTTATATCTATGAACAAACCATACCTGGTGTATCAATTAAGTAGACTGTAGGTGACACCTCCTACTGATCAAGGCATGTAGTAGTATTGAATTGCCAATCTGCAATTTTATTTGTCTGGCGTTTGCTTAAGCGTATACTGCAAAAAATTAGGTTGTTGTTAAATTGTTAATTGTTTGCGTCAGTCTTGTAATAGTCGTACTAGTTACAATTTCAATTGATTCTGAATGTTGAAGGCGTATTTTATTTTGCCGTCTTGTTTTGACACATTTTTAGTAAAAATTTGGTACCTGCAGTTTTTATTTCTTCTATGTCTTCTGTTTACAATTTTGAGAACTGATATTCGAAATTAAATGCAGCAAAAAAATGTAATGAAAATGGGCACTTTATGCTTGGAGTAGGCTCTTTTGAACAGTGACTACAGATTTTTAATTACAAATTATGAAACAAAAAGAAAATAATCTTAAGCTTACTTGAAGTTTATTAATAAATTATTTATGAAAGAATTATAACTAAACGAATTTTATTACTAACTGTGCATTCATGCATCAAAACACGGCCAAATGGTCTGAATGTATTTTTTTTGCCCCCAAATCGTTAACCCAGATATACTTACTATACATATCATTATCTTGCAGCTTAAAAAGAAAACAACTCGTTTATTATTTTAATTTGTATCTATGCGCGCGTTACAGATTTAATAAATAGTTGCTAGGGAACCTTATTTCACAAATTCAGTGAAGAAGTGATACACGTCTACATTTTGAATTTTGAGGTAAATATTAGAAAATTAATAACCGATACTATAAAGCATATAGATCTTGATTAATGCATAGACCATTTTTTAATTTTATTTTTATCGTGACTACCTGTGACCAAAATTAATCAAAACGCAGTGATATATATTTTCCATAATCTATTTCCTATGGTGTATTTATCTCTTGCTTATTGCTGTGGCCAAACTTCCTCAAAAATATAGTGTAGGGCTTATTTTCTCTTGCATGCGTTTTATAGAAAAAATTAAAAATTCAAATGCGTTCACATAGAATTTGTGAAATTGTCATTATATATAAGATCTGCTTCACGATAAGATTGGGATAATAAAATTACTGGGGCATATTTAATTTCAATTTCACTGTTTGCTACAGTTAAATTATAAATTCAATATTAATTTTATTAAGGAACTTCGTGGGAATCTAGAAAACACGAGCATATAATATGCCCAAAAATAATGTTAATACTTTCATTT